TTATAATGATTCATTTAATGACCATTTGAAGTTCAATTGGCGCAGAAAATGACTTATGATCATTTTTCACGTTTAAAACCATTGTAGCATCCCTGTAATCACATAATCAAAATTTGGATGCTTAGTAATTGGATGTATTTATGACGGTTGCAGTGTCCCAGTCATGTGATCACCTTTTGCGGACTTCTGATAAAGTCAATGGGGAAGCCAGATTCACTTAATAACTGTGTTACTAACTTAACAACTGCAGTGATTGACTTAACAACTATGGCAAGAAATATAATGAAATGGGGCAAAATTCACTTAACTATTTTGCTTAGCAGTGGAAATTTTGCATCATAATTCGACTACCTGTATCTTGTTTTGTTGAATACAATGTAAAATACTTCTCACTGCAATCTGTACAAAATATGTAATGAGAAATTGAGCACCCCATTTGGTAGGCATTTGTGTGATATATGTTGAATAGAATACTTGATAAATAACCCATGCCAAGTGTTTGTTTCCATTGCACTAAAAATGTGTGATCTAGCTATGTTATTGCGTGAAGTTATGCTTGAATATAAAGCATTGTAAACTACCGTCTCAAAAAGAAGACCAATAATTTAATTGTTCTTGTAAACAGATAATGTCAAGGAAGAATCTATGAATTCTATATTTGCTGGAATGGCAGAGATTAGTTAAAAGATGTTAACTTAGGAAATAAACTGATCTTGCATTTGTACTTTAAGTTGAATCAACAGCAAAATAATACTCAATGTTTTAATTCTTCTGTGAAAAATTACTGTATAGTACATTAGTATGGAATATGCAACCCGTGGGTTCAACTGGCCGTCTGTACATATTTGTACAATATGTAGTTCAATTGAAATGTTGCCTAATATTTATATCTAGATACTCACATTGTGCTGTTAAAAAAATTGATGGGTAGATTCTTTGTAATAGGGTGAGATTTAATTTTTGGTTGTGAAGGCGAAAGAATTCTACTTTGATCAAGCGTCACCATTGCTTTTAGAAAGCCTTAAACATGATAATAAGAAATGAAAGTCATTTGTATCTGTAGATGTATAAATTTTTCCCAGAATAACTTTACTGTTTGCATAAAGTTGATCCATTCTGAGACCGGAGAGTACACACTATGTTGGAAAAGGCTCATAGTTACTGAAATATTTTTTTGTGCAACAAGGATTTTAAAAATGTAATATTTTGAAAACACCATTATTGTAGTTTTACCAGGACATCACAGCATCATCTATTGTTTGTACTGTATACAATATGTATTATCTTTAAGTGGCTATCTATATACTACATTGTTAACATTTTGAAAAAAATGTGCCTCTTTAGTTTCAGTGAGTTTTCAAAGAAATGTTGAAGCAGAAATATTGTGAAATGTACATTTTTAAATTTAGTATGGAAATTTTGACTTGTTTGATTGATAAAAATTACTGAAGAGGGTTACAAAGAATTTTACAAAACTTAAATCTGACAGTAAGAAACAATGCAGATATGCAGTTATCTATGAATTTTTTGTATATTAAAGATATACTATACCCTTTAAAATAAAAAGAATGTCAATCAGCTAATTAACTTATTTCTTTAAACTTGTACTATGGAAATAAATTTCAATGTTTGGCTTGTATAACCAGTTGTAAGATGCTACTTATCACTCCAAAGGGCAAAAGCAGGTAATTTGTGGGAGCTAATGTGACCTAAATACAGTGCAGCCCTGAGAATAATTTGACAATTAAAGGATTGTCAGATATTTTGGTCCGGATCACAATATTCTTTCTACACTTCCACTTCTGATGCTGTTACCCTTGGGTATCAGAATTTTAATGAGGAGTAACAGTGTGGAAAATATTATTAGAAGGATTCAATCTTTGTTACTCTCATTAGAATCATGTTCTTCTGAAGCTCATTACATGTTTTTTTAAAAAAAGCAAAACAATGCCTTTACTGCCAAAATGTTGCAATAAACAATTGAGTTTTCCACTTTAAAATAAACAGCCTTGGGTTTTTGTTTAAAGAGTAACAGGTTTTTAACTAAGAAAACAATCTATTAATAAACATAATATGAGAAGAGGGGGTTTGTTGGTTACCATCATTTTGAATAAATGACTGTTTTCAGTTAGAAATGTAAATGAAATATTCCTAAGTGTTTTATGCTTTGTAGAACAAGTGCAAAATAAATTCTATGTACCTCATCATTTACCTTTAATGATGTCACAATCTGCACCACCACTAGTGTAATATGTGGTTAAAAAGGTGAGCTGGAACTGAGGTTCTATGAATGCTGGATGCGTGCTTCAATTTCACATGGATGCTTTTATTCTTAGCATTTGTTTATAAGTTCTTAAGCATTTAGTTGCTTGGGGTGTGTGTGTGTGTGTATA